CACGAAACCCTAATTAAAATTCTGGATACCAACACTTATGATTTATTCAATGTGTTCACGTCAATGATACGCATGCTTGGGACAAGCTTTTCCTTCATAGAATTTGGTATGACAATGACCTAATACAGCACCACCCAAAACCCATACATAGATACTTTATATAATAACTAGCATTGAACTCGTATTAATACTAAATATTCAATTATACACATGACGGATGACCTGGCCTGTCGTCGCATCTGACCTTCCATGTTTGTTTTTTTACGCATTGGCGTCTTAGAATGCGACTTGATATCCTTATATCAACTAGATCGCTGATCTGTTTGAAATTCGTTATTGTCATGATAATCACCAATAGCTTGTAAATGCAATCGAATATGATTCATTTCCCTGGAAATTCCCATTCTATGTCATTTCCGAAAATTCCACGTCTACTGTGACGACCTCTCTTTATTAATCAAGGACAGCCAATATATTCGTTTTGATAATACGATGTATAACAATCTACTACTTTAAATGGCGATAAAAATTACCTGATGCATATCAACATTTATCATTAGAAAGCATAACTGAATCACGCGATGATCATGCGTGCTAAGCAGCGACAACCCGTTGTACGATAAGAGCGAATAGAGAAGTTAATTGTGAAGTGTAAGCTCTGGTATAACGAGGACGGGTGATTTATTGTACAACAATTGATTATCATCTGTAACATAATATTGAAAAAATGGAATCTAAGCTAACTGTATCCCTTTCACCTTCAGAGGAAGTGGGAAGCCTCTAAACCGTCTTCAACCAGTAGATGTAACGTGAGTCTTTGTACTGCACGCGAAGAACAAGGTACCACGTTTTGACGGGTATTTCACTTGACGAAACAAAGAAGCCTTAGAAATGTGGGAATTATTGTGGTGGTATTTTGAAAGTACTAAAATAAACGAAAAACAACCGCCGTCCAGCATTTTTGCTTTAACAGTAATAGGGAATCGGTCCAAATAAAATTGTATTTCTTACACGAAAGGAGTCTTTATATAAATTGTTTTTAGATTTGTTTAAATAGTAATGTTTGAATGAGTGGATGTTTTGGTATCCGCTCGAAACACTCAATACGTTATATACACAGCCCAGCGCTCACTTGTTACATAGTTCCCACGAACGCACAACAGTACTCAATTTTAGCGCCATTTATGTCTATCTTCCTATTTGGTATATTTGTTTTCCGTGAGTAAAGTTGTATTTCTACTCAAGTAGTTTAAATATAGGTCCGCGGTTGTTGATTTACGCGTAGTTCTTAATTGAATGAAATGTAAACCCTTGTTTGTCTACTGGTTTGCCTGCTTTCATTTCTAGCAACGTGAAGCAAAATCGGGTAAAATGTTTGTCTGTCTTTATAAATCAATGTGTTTTTGATGGCGTAATTCTAAATTATTGTGTAATTGATTATTATCAAGACGTCTATTTAACCTCTGTCAATCAAAGTCAATCTGCGAGAGAAGAATAGCCAGCTGGGAACTGGTCGATGGATGCTTACTGTGCGGATTGGAAGGATCGTTTTTATGGTGATTTCAATAAAACTGATCACAGTTTTTAAATTGTTCAGTGTAAATTTGTAAATGTTGATTCGGCGCTAACCAGCAATATAACGTCGCTAGGGCGGTATAATCTTTCTCATCATCCACTGTTAGATTTATACTTTTATTGCTCAAATCCTTAACCCCGATCTTTCATATTCTCTCTTTAAATAATAAGCTGTCCAATAAAGTGACAGAAACTATAAAGCATGTTATTTGTACCGGTGAAAAAATGACTTTTGTTTCTTTATAAAGAAGATCAAGGAATTAATGCTTATTAGGCTTGTGTTTCACTATCATTTGACATGCAAGGTTTCTTATTTCTTAGTAGAGTTTCACAATTAGATTCCCTGATAATTTATATTAAGTTTCACATTAGTAGAAGGCTGGGAATAGATTTTAATTAGCAAATACGTGAAAATAAACAATAAATTGCGAAAGGCCATTTTTCAATGAGATTACACCCTATAAACCTGGAAGCCATTTATGTAGAAAGTAATTGTATCACACATCAGCTGGAGTTGTCTTGACATCAAATTCTTACAAATAATAATATGCCACATCACGCTCTACTGGACGTTATATAGCTTAACGTTTAAAGATGCATTATGTAAGATTTGTATAAAAAGAGTTCTAGCTATATTATAGTTAACAGAGTAGTTCAGTCAAATTACTTTATCAATATTTAATGTTTTAACAAGAATAGCGTAAATAATCCTCATTTTCCATTTTACATAACTACATGCGATTGGAAGATTTTGCTCCTACGGCGTATCCTCGGATCCATTCACTTGATATGCGCGTTTGTTGTTTTACGTGTCTGTGTAGTTCATATTATCCTGTCCGTATGTTTGTTTCGTGTTATTGTTTGTGTTTGTTGTTTATTGTGTGTTGCACTTACTATATAATGCCTCTTTAATTGGGGTGGTGCCATTGTATCGACCTCGACCAGATAAGAAAGTCATGTTCAGACCGTCCTGGTATAATCTATAACAATTTTATTCATAACCGCTAATCCTAAGTACTATAAAACAATTCGATAGATATTTCCATTCAGTACATTGTTTATAACCTCAAACGAATATGCTCCTATGATATTGAGCCACTGAACTGATCAAAGGGAGGGCGTTAATAAATAGATGTTCTCTGTCAATGATAATGTCAACAATATATGCAAGACTGATCCCTTGGATGACGTTTTAATTAAGCAACAGTTTTAACGGATAATTAAATACATCAGGTTGAATGGGGGGGAGAGAGATGGGGTTTAACGTCCACTCGACACAAATTAGGTCATTTTGGGACTAACATATGTTTCAATTTTATTTCAATAATTCGCTTGTGCACAGGGATCTTTAGCAGTGTGAGGAAACCATATTTATATGAACATGCTGAAGTAACTGTCCAAACGTAGAAATTGTTTTGGTTTGTTTAGGACTTCTTTTTGCCACATTGGCTTGTCACGTTAATAGAGGAAATCGTCTACATTCAGAATCCAATAACGCGATGTTCTCTTTGGAGGACATGATTGACAGGTATTCTGAAGAAAGTGTTTTCAAGGTATTTGAACGAGTGGGTTTTAAGCATGGATTTATTACTGTCTACTGAGAACATTATAGTAGACTACTTTGTCAGTATTAAAGGAATAGTTTTAACATCAGATTCCTAAGAAATTATGTGTACATTTTCTAGAAATATTCCAACTATAGTTTATTTCGGAATTAACATATGGTACCCGGTGAAATTTCATTTCTATAATTCGCTTGCGCGGGCGGGTCTTTCGCAATGGGGTGGAAACCGGAGGACCCAGAGAAAACACATGAGTTTATGCAGACGACCCTACTTCTGGACACTTACTTTTGGGATCGAAACCATGCCACTTGACTTATTGTCAAACCTTAAGCTCACACATTAGTCCACTCGATCACCAAAACCCCCTCTTCACAGAGAAGGAAAGAAATTTGCTGGCACTTGTTTGTCTGAACCGCAGCACTTGAGGCGTACTGGGGGCATTAATTAGACAATAAAAAGACCTATTTACTGCTCTCGAACAAGACGAATTGTGCCAGAGAATAGATATTAACCTTTTATACACACTCAAATAAAATATATTATCGGTATTATCAAATTGGGTTAATAGATCTTGTACATTTCTATATTTAAATTTCTATATTTTATTATTTATTTAAGAAGGGTAGCTGTGTTATTTTATTTGACTTTTCTTAAATGAAATGAAATGGGGTTTAACGTCCTACTGTTCTGCTCCTATACTGGGCTAATGAAGACGGACATACGCCATACAGTGTGCTATGAGGGAAATTTAGCCCGGGTAGCGGCACTATCGCCTACTCTTATATCCAATTCCAACTGCCAAGGGATCTTTTATGTGCATTCCAATATATACACGGGACCTCGGTTTTTCGTCTCATCCGAAGGAATAGACAGCTGTCCTTGTCAGGCCCTCCGTCCTGCATCACTGACAAGGGGGAACCAGACTTTTCTTACTTTGCAGTCTAAAGCTAAGGTAAGGGGAAGAAATGGAGTTGATCACAATACATCTTTCATCTCAAGACTAAGCTGCGGTTATATGTTGCTGCAATGGTCGCGTGTGAAATGCTAGAAATGAGAACCGTGTCCAACCAGTGGAGTTTCCGCCTACCCTAGATCGCACCCCAACTGACATAATAATGTGTTATTTTACGTGCACGCCAACTGTTTTTGTTATGTTCCAAACGATTAGGAAAAAGGATAAGTGTCATTCCGGTGTACCATTGACATCAAGTGGAGCCCCGGCTTAAACACTCAATAGATTCTGTTCAGCTCAAGCCGGGTTTTACGTGTTTTTTTCTGTTAAAATATTGGCTTAGTCTACGAAGAAAACTTTTAAAAATGGATGAATGTATCACAGCAAATAAAAACATTACTCAGACATACTGGACACGAAATGTTCTCATTTGTCACCCAATTGAAACCCCGGCGTTATTGTAATGCTTTTAATATAATGAAAAGCCTCCCGAGGGATTTGAAAGAAAAACTGTTTGCTATTAAATGTGGAAAAATCTAAAATACTTATTTTTAACAATTGTATAAAATTATTTTATGATTTAAAATTGCATCTTCGGAAACTCGCATACTGACATTATTTGAAAGCCTTAATGTCGTCCAGATCATATTTTTTTGTATTGTTGTTGACGTTTCACTCACATTTCTCTTTTATTTTCTATTATTTTCTTTAAAAACATAATTTATCCTCTAACTCAATATTTTCCATCATACTTGAAATTATAAACAGAAATTAAAATAATTTTATAATCAGTACACGAGTCGTGTATTCTATGGTTTCGGTTACCATTTGTAAAGAACAAAAAAAAACGATAACCTCCAAGACAATACGAAAGTAATTAGTAACTGAAACTATAAATTTACACTTACGTAGAAATTATTTTCATGGAAGCCATTAAACCGAACATGGGAGCCGCCTCGTTCTGACAACATACATGATATATATTCTACGTTATCTATATTGGTAATGGCGTCATCTAAAGTCGTCATAACCAGCGTCGCGTGGTGTTCCAATGCTTCGTTATCCCTTAATTCATCTTCCTTTTCCAAATGTTTAAACTCTTTGAACATGGACTTCAATTCTGATTTTCTTTTAAAAAGCCTGAAAAATACAATAAATAAAATAAATCCTGGAAGCCATGTTTAAGAATACAGCTGAAAATGTTTGAACAAAGATCGTAAATAAACTTTTAGGACTAGATAACCCATATTCCTGCCCACGATTGGTAATAATACCTTTATCAGTACTTTATAATCCTATTGACTTCCGTTTTGGATCTTTAACGAATCAAAGCTGTATCTTCCATTAATGGATTTGGTTTACAATACACAGATATAGGGTGGGATTATGTTATACGATTATGTTATTTTTTTGTATTCCGTTTCCACTAATAATGCCAATACGTATCCATTATCCCCCTTCCTGGTTACAAATAAATACATAAATCACAAGTCATTATGTCAATTTAAAGAGTCGGTAGGGACGTTCATCCGCGCCATATTGACAATGCACTTTGATCATGATAAGAAACGTGTGTTTTTAAGCTATGTGAAAACCTTAAAGCGGAGGTGTATTAGAACAGTAACCATATCCTGCTTACTGGAGATGGGGTTTGAATCTGGACTTGACAGACCGTAGTCTTCTGGATAAAACATTAACTCTAGTCCTCGAGATTCATTGGGTCATCTAAGCAAGCTTACTTTTAAACTAAAAGTGTGATATTTTTAGTGACCAGGAAAATATAATTTTAGACTGGAGGTGATTGTAAAGCTCACAATAAGTAAAATTAGAAATAAACCCTTATTTTGTCAAACGCAAATTTAGCAGACGACTTCTTGTGGACTTCCCTTGCATAACCAGTCGAAAGATTGTCTGTAATCCGGTGTATCCCAACCTTATTGGACCCACCATAAACATATATTTTCCAAAAACGTGTGTAAACCAGTGTGACCCAACCTTCTTGGACCCACCACGAACCTAGATTTTCAAAAAAAGTGCGTCCGACCATTATCGTACAAAGCTTGTGTGTGGCATATAATTATACATGTATATATTCTGTAAACCAGTATGTCCCAACCTTCTTGGACCCACCACAAACTTAGATTTTCCGAATACTTGCGCCTGACCGTCATTGTACTAAGCGTGTGTATGGCATAATTATTTATATATATATTTAAAAACATTCATGTGAAACACTTTAATATTTGCTTACTGTTGTGAAGCGGTATAAGATGTTCTAGAACAAGAACGCAAGATCTACCTCACACATGAACTGGTTAATACTAGATTACTGGAGATGTTATTAACCACTTAATGTTATAACAAATATATAATTTTTATCTCATTATTATCCTTATTACGGAAGCCGTGATGTCTCAGTGGGTCAGGAAGTAGCTCATGGCTAACTTATAGGAGGTCTCGGTTTTATTCGATAACGTTCCTCGGGAGGGGGGCGGAGAGTGGCGTATCCTACAATTGTTGCTCTAAACCAATTTGAAAAGTCACTGACCAAAGAAACTCAATAGTTATAAAATATTGTTTCTTAAAGTTTCGTTGTGTCATTTTAAGAAATTGGAATCTCGAGCAAACTACAATAGTGTGAAAAATAAATCTCTATTAGGAATATTGGTCCCAAAATGGATCAGTTCGTTCAGTATTTACATAGTTAAGTTGAATGGAAATTTCATCCATATATGATGTTCGTTATGAAATAAGGCCGTCGCCTTTTTCTTGTGCAGAAATACAAGATACATGTATATATGCCCTTTTTCTTAAAAATCTTATTGAATCCAAGCCGGAAGATTATCTAATGTGGTTGGTACTTTGATTTTGATTTTGATTAAGCCATGAGACATTTGATGTTTTAGCGGAAATGCAAATGACGCATCAAACCTTTAAATATTTTACATTTCATTCTGAAAATATCCTGTGAGCCTTGACGACCCACGTCTTTCTTATAACAGCAAACACATTACGAGACTAACGTGACCTGTAGAACGCCGTAAATTGAGTCGATACATCCATATCGAACCTCCGTAAAAATGTGACATATTACGTTATTAGTAAGGAGTCCCATTGCATTTGTAATTGGCTGGCAAACCTGGAATCCTTAGCAAAACGAGAGTATTGAACGAACAGCACATAAAACACGTAAAGAAAAGAAACTATTGTTGATATAATATTTTTTCATATCCTTGTCAAATGTTTCCTTGTGCATCATCTTGGAAAATTGCCAGTTGCTACCGTAAATATAATAAACTGGGGCACATGTGAATTAAATCAATTAATGCTTAAATAATGCGTAGACGTGAAAAGTGCCAGTTTCTATCGTAACTATCCCGAAAAGGGGCACATGTGAATTAGATGAATTAATGTTTAAGCAAGTCGAAAATGTCACTGAATAACGGTTAATAGTACCGTTCAATATCACTGATAGTGCAGAAAGCTGAGTCTATCATTCAGATTTCCTATTTGTATTGAACTTATATCTCATTCTTCTGCTTTGATCTAATATATTAAAAGGACTAGATCATTTTGATTTGCGCCAAAAAGAAGATTGGCGGTTGCACGGGATTTTATATGTTGGTTCTTTAATATCTGTTTTGTATCACGACTAGGCTAATGAAGACCGGCATATGCCCTACTATTTCGAATTCCAGCTGTCAACGGTTTTTTGTGTTCAAGTTGTCCCTAGCCAGACATCCCGTCCTACACCACTGACGTGGGGAAACCACTCTGGAAAATCAGGATGGAATTTCTCGGCCAACACCTACATCGAACACAGCCTCTCTAGATTAGCGATTAAACGCCTTACTCACTGAGCCACTGCGGCTCCCTAAATATGTTATGATACACAAAGTCAGTCTTAACTATAATTGTTTCTGTGTTTGAACTAAAATCAATAAAAAAGCCCAAACAAATTGAAATATACTAAGCTGCAAAAGGAAACTCAGGTTGGTATGTTACTCTGAATAAATGCATTGCATAAAACTTGCCAAATGTTTTATTATATATTTGTGACCACATCTCCAACTTTACCTGAGCAATAAGGCTCCTTCCCAAACACAAAATTGAACTCAGGAAATGTTCTCAAAAACGCAACCTGACTTCTGAGATGGTAATGTGTTCTCCGTGATTTTCATGTAACTCATGCTGCACGTACTGTTCACCGAGACCATGCAGCCCTATAAAATGCATCCCCATACCTGGTTAAATCATTCACACTACAACGCCAGTAGCATGCCACGACTCACGACAGCTCAGAGGAGTCGGGCGCTTGGAAGACTCGACGTTGGCCACACTGCCCAAGCTGTTCGCAATCACTTCCAGGTCAATGTTCGGACCATCTACAGGCTTCAGCAACGCTTTCGAGCCACCAACACTACGGATGATCGCCCCTGAACTAGTAGACCAAGGGTTACCACAAGGCGACAAGACCGCCCTGTTGTGCGTCAGCACGTGCAGAATCCCTTCACACAAACATCTGAGACAGCACGTCAGACAGTGGGAACACACGGAAGATCAGTGCGCCGACGTTTCACCAGAGAGAACATCCATTGCGTTGACCGATTCTCACCCCTCGCCATCAACGTGAACGTCTACAGTTTGTCCAACAACACCAGAAATGGCGACACAGGCAATGGAGAACTGTTCTGTTCACAGATGAGAGTCGGTATCAACTGCGGATGGCAGGACCAGAATATGGCGTCGACGGGGCCAGCGTTATTCTGACCAATGTGTCATGGAACGAACGAGACTCATGGGGAGTTCCACGCATAATGGTTTCGGGTGGAATAAGCCTGAACCAGAGAGTGGGTCCTGTGGTGTTCCAAAATCTTGGTTCAGGAACAGAAGGCGTCATCACAGCAGTGCACTACATCGATCAAGCTCCCAGACCCCACGTCATACCACATTTCGCACGTCATCTAAACAACGTTCTCCAGCATTTCTACAGCAGAACGGTGTCAATGTTATGCACTGGCCAGCCCTTAGTCCGGACTTAAACCCGATTGAACATATTTGGGATGAAATTCAGACGGATTGCGCCAGGCTTTTCTGAGAGATTGGTTCCAGGTGCCAATGGCGTTCATAAATCGTCTGGTCCACTCCATGTACAGACGCTGCGCTGCTGTTATTGACACTCGCGATGGACACACCAGATGCTGATGTACAGACCCTAAACCTTCTCGTAATGTCTTGGAATTGTGATGAATTAATCACTAATGTGTCAACAAACTGTTCACAAAAAATTGCTTTGATCCATTTAGTAAGTCGTTTTTTAGAATAATTTGATGAAAGTGTCTCTGATTTTGAAATCGTACTGACTTTTTTTTCTTTTTAGTATAGTACATTAGATCAACCCTATACACGCTTATTTTTTGGATCTAAATCAAAACGTTTAACCTCTCTAAAATTGTCAGAGGCTTTGTGTGGTTGAGTGGTCTAACACGTACGCTGTAGATTATAAGGTCTACCGTTGGGTCAAGTGGTGTGTGATTTCGATCCCAAGCTTGTATGTAACAAGAAGTAGGATCGCCTGCCCAGCCTCCGAACCTCGTGGGTTTTCTTCGGCTTCTTCCATCAACTTTCTTTCTTTACCCTCGCTCTCTTTTTCGCTCTCTATCTCACGCACACCTCCACCCACACTGCAGCTATCTAGATTTCTAAAGATTTATCTTAGACAACAGGTTCTGCCATACAGCCATCCTGTTCCCGGGGGAGAAATTAAATACCCCCATTAAATATTGTTTATCAAATATCCATGACATTATCCGATCATTTTACTTTGGGAGTTTCAATATACGAGATAAAAATGTCACTGTTAACCCAATTTTAAAGCCCATGTGTAGACATATTAATAATCTAGTTCCTAAAAGGTTTAAATAATTTAGAAGTAGTCTTGAAATAACTGCAAACGAGGTTTATTGGTTGATGACATATTTTTACATAAAACCAGTCGAAACAAAAATATTAATAATTAAGCGGCAGTAAGCATTTTAACAATATAAACTGAATAATACTTGATTGCTGGAAATTATATGAAGTAGGAATGTAGTGACAATTGGGTTATGGGAAGTAATTAGACGACAGTAATTATTAAC